AAAAAAAAGTACTAACTAGCAAATGTTTTTTATTAGCTCGCAATTTTCTTGAAAACTACTTCAATGAGGAAAAAAATAAGAATTTGGAATATCTATACATGAGGGGCTAATTGATCGGATCTGTTGGATCGGTGGGGAGTCAGTGCACGGAAAAATTGCGTCGTGCAGCGCTATCTTGTGAATTCGGGGAACAACGAGGAATTATTGGACGGGAGGAGTCGATCTGGGCTTTGTAACTACTTCTGGGTAGAGCAGACTGCGAAAACAGTCGTGTTTTTGTTTATGGGAATTCGCTTTGTGAGGGAAATGGTTCATTCAACTTGGAAAAGACAAAGAGGATTATTTATTCACACGAGGTGATAAAGTGCAGCAGATTCGACGAATGATTGTTCGGGGGTTTTTCGGATTCTCGAGCTCTCAGTGATTGTGGGGAGAGGTTGATTGTGGTAGATTATAGAGCAACAATTGAGGGTTTTACGTTGGGAAACATCGATTTTGTAATTATTGACATAAAATATTTGAATAACGAAGTTACAGGCGTTTGTCTTGGTTAATAAGGAAACTCAGCTCAATAATTGTCGAATTAATTGTCGATTTCGAGTAGTACTGCAGCTGAGGTTATTAAAAATTAAGGACAATGGCATCGCAGAGGGAGAGACGTGCCAATGCCGGCAATAAAATGGCAAAATTATTGAATGAAGAGGAGGAAGATGAATTCTACAAAACGACGTACGGGGGATTTGAGGAGGTGGAGCAGGATAATGATTACATGTGAGTTTTATTTATTTTTTTTTCAATAGAGATTTCTCTGCAATGGATTCAATTATCTGTATTTTTTTTTCCTTGTATTCTTACATTTTTGCAATTGTTTGATTGATAATATGATGATGACTTGATGTAAAATTATTTAGGGCAAAATTTATTACCACTGTCTTATTCAAATTGTTGAGAGCTCGAAGAAGCTTCAATATCAAACAAAATTTTGTGAATTGATAATCATTTGGTATTGTTTATTGGCTGAAGGTCAATGAGAGAAGTGGGTGCTACATTATTCTTTGTTAATCAGAATTCCTCGTGTTTTGAGGCTTTTCAACAATTAATTTGAGGATATTTAGCTACTTTGGCGACACTTTTTGCGTTGGGATGCTGTTCAATGTTTTTAGATGTATTTTTAGATGAAAGGGCTTTCATTTGAGCCCTTTTTCACTCTAACATACTGAAAATGTTGCGATGATTGTATTTTTCAAGAGGCTTAATTTCAAAGTCAGGAAACAATGATTCTAAATTTCAGTAGAAATCGATTTAACGTCAAAGAAATAAGTTTTTTTGACAATTTGAAGAATTTTATCAATTTCTTTAGAAGGAGGAAATGTTGAAAAAACAATAATTCTCACGCAATTTAATTAACAAGTTTGATGTATGAAAATATCCAAATCTATACAAAACTAAAAAAGGCACTTGGATACATCCTTCAAGGATACTGTGTGATAAAGTAGAGACAGTGCCAAAATGTGGAACGAAATTTTACGATTTGACAGTGATTTTACATTGTTTATTGGCTAAAAGCCAACGAGGGAAATGGGAGTTATATTATCCTTTGTTAATCGGAAATGTCTCAGCAATGATTTAAATCATTCATTTCTCAAGATTTCGTGCGTTTTGGAATCGATAAGACAAAGAAAGTTACCGTTTGGAAAAGATTCAAAAAACGCCAAAATTCTAATTTGTGAACATTACGACCTTGAAAATCTTTACCTGAAATCGTACCAAATTTTTTCATGTTCAAAATTTTCCCAGTAATTATTTTACGCCAATAAATACAGTTTTCAACCATTTGAAGGATTTTTTCAATCAATTTATTTGTAAGGGGAGAATTTTCAAAAAAACATTTTCTTGCACAATTCAACGGACAAATTTGATGTGTGGAAATATCCAAATCTATACGAAACTAATTATTCACTTAGACAGCTTCAAATATTCAATTAAATTTTACGATTTGACAATTAATCTATATGATTTATTGGCTGAAGGCTTGTGAAGAAAGACAAAAATCTGTATATAGGATGATGTGTGAAAGTTATATTACCTTTTCCCAACAAAATAGTTCTCATCAGTAACATAAATGATCTGTCCATCGTGGCTTCTCGTTTTTAGAACACTTCATATACTACACTAAAATAATAGTTTTATCTAAATACTCATTAGTACCTCGCATTTCCGATACTGAACTACCTTCAATAAATGGTAATAACCACGACTAAGAATGATGATAAATGAATAGAATTTCTTCGTACCCTTGAGCCCCATTTTCCAAAAATCATCACGTCATCATTTATATTTAGGATGGAGGACGAAGCAGAAGACGAGGTGGATTCCGACTTCAGTATAGACGAGAATGACGAGCCAGTTTCGGACCAGGAACAAGACGAACCCAAAAAGAAGCGTAGACTCGTGACAAAAGCGTACAAAGAGCCAAAGCCAGCAGCGCCGGCACAGTCAACCCCGAAGGAGAAGAAACCAAGAGCCCCCAGAGACAAAAGATTCCTGAACGACAGCAGAGAGAGAAAGTCGCTGCGAAGATCCACAGCATCAAAATCAGCAGCAACAGCGAAGAGATTACGCCAGAGGAACGAGGATCAGAGAAGAAAAGTCAAAGTTCGTCGTCACGAGGACTGGAAGCCCACTCAGGAGGAGCTCCTCGAGGAAGCCCTGGAGACTGAAAAAATTAACCTGAAGTCATTGGAGAAGTACCAGAAGCTGGAGAGTGAGAAGAAGAACGTGAGGACTGTCAGGAAGACCCATTCCCACCCCATAATTCGTTATCAGTCGTTGGCAATGCCTGTGATGGTTTTGAAGAATCTAGCTGAAAAGGAAAAGGAAAAAGAGAAGGGGAAAGCAGCTGATGGAGACGAGGGAAAGCCCAGTGACTCTGATGCCAACACCAACGACCCTGAGAAATCAACACCAGAGGAGTCCGGCAAATCGGAGGAACCAGACAAAGAGACTGATTCATCCAAAAAAACAAATTCATCAGAGAAGACAGAGGAGGTCAATGGCCCAGAGGTCGAGGCTGAGCAGACTGGCGAACGATACGAGAGGACTTTCATAACTTTCGAGACTGAGAAGATGTTCCAGAAGGCGTTCAAGAGGAAACCCCAGCCCAGGCCCACCCTCAAGTCCCTCTGTGCAATCACGAGACTGCCAGCCAAGTACATAGATCCAATAACGAATCTACCTTACAGGAATGTTCAGACATTCAGATTGCTGCGAGAGGCGTATTATCAGCAACTCGAGGCTCGTGCTGATGCTAATGATGCGGCTAGTAACCCAGAGTTGACGAAGTGGCTGGAGTGGAGGCGTCAGTATCAACAGGGGGGAGTGCAGAAGAGCACTGTACGACTTGAACCTGCTTCAGCGTACTCCACTTCTTAGCTCGGGGACACTCCCACTGATCTGGGAACGTCAGCTGCTTCCAAGCACAATCCGAATACTGTGTCGTGCTACGTCGTGCTGCTTAATAAACAATCCTAAGATATTTTTGTAGTGCGAAAGGGGGAATTGTGAATGAAGAAGTGAGATCTATATAATTGCTTTGTAGATGATGAATCAAATCAGTAGCGAAGTGGTAAAACGGTTCAAGTCGACTCATCTCCCAGTTGAGCTTTTGAGGAATATTTCCGAATCTAAGGGAGATAGCGGAATTTTCATAATTACATTTGTTGTAGCTCTCAATCGGTTGTACAAAAAAGGTAATAACAAAAATTTTGCTGCTTCCCTTAGATTCCGAGATATTCATTGAAAACTGGCCAATAGTCAAAATTGACTTGTACCATTTTACCACTTCGCTATTGAAATGAAAGTCGTTTTTGGTCTTTGGATCATAGACAGTCTTCTCTGGGGACACCCCTTTCTGCTGTCGTGCTGGCTAGTGAAGCATCCGGAGATAATTTTGATGGGACTGTGGAAAATTTTGAATTGGAATTTAAAATAAAGCCTCCAGATGCCATTAATGTTCAGGGGTTGGCAGGGAATGACACTGAAATAGAACTGAATTTTCTAAGGATATTTTTTTAGAGTGAAAGATGGGAGTTGTAAATGAAAAAGTGAGATTTATACAATTCTTTGATTTTTTTTGGTTTTGCGGTATCGTTTCGAGAAATAAAGTCAAATGAAAAATTTGTTTTTGTTGCTTAAATCATAGACAGTTTCCGTTTTCAACACCATTTGCTGCTGTCTAACGAACCATCTAGAGATAGTTTTGAGGGCAGGAAAAATTTTGAATAGAAATTTTAAATAAGACCTCAACATTCTTCAACGTCCTTCGATCCTCAGGTGTTGGCAGGAAATGTAACTGATATATAACTGAAATTGCTAAAGATGTTGAATATTTATTCAACAATCCAAAGACATTTTTTCAGAATAAAACATTGGAATTGAAAATGAAGAAGTAAGATTTTTATAATTCTTTGATTTTCATGGTCTTTGTAGTATCGTTTTTAGGAATAAAATCAAAAGAATAATTTGTTTTTGTTCTTTAGATCATAGACTGTCTCCTCTTTCAACCTCCTTTTCTGTTGTCGTGCTGTCTAATGAATCATCCAGAGGTATTTTTGATGACACTAGAGAAATCCTGGATGACATCAAGAGAAATTTTTGATAGAACCTTCTCAAGATGTCCATTAATCTTCAGGTGTTGACAGGAAATGAAACTGCAATGGAACAGAATTTTCTAGAGATGTTAAATATTCATGTTGCGAATTTTTAATGAAAACAGAAGGCTCATTCCGCTGGTTTTATTCTGGCAGACTGAAATTCTTCATTTGTTGAGGTGAATGTTCAGCTCAACTCTTTTTTAATAACCCAATTTCGCTCATGAAATTAACTTGTAGAGTAAGAAAATTACAAAATAGACTCTGTATTCTCTAAACCATTCAGAGGAGAGCTCTTCTTCTATTTGTTGATAATTTCCACTAAAAACCTGAAAGTGCAAAGATTTGACCCAAATCCTAAGGATCTTTAGTGGGAAATTTCAGACAAAATTCATAAATAGACGACACAAAAGAAGGGAATTAATGAAGTAAAAAATGAGATTTGTATAATTCTTTAATTTATGTTTTTTTTTCGTTCTTTAGTGTATCGTTTTTAGAAATAAAATAAAAAAAAGAAATGTTCAATATCTTCTTTTCTTTCGTTTATAGCCACAGTCTCCTCCATCTACTCTATCGTACGTATTACAGAAAGAAAAAATATTTCATCCTCGAAGACTATAAAGAAATTATAATGATGGATTAGATACAAGTTAGAGGATTACGCATAATGTGGTATTGAATTTATCTTGAATTTTTCTCGTTAACACTCCATGTGGTTTGATTTCCCGAAGTATTATCCTACTTATGAACTCTCATATTGTAATCTCTCGCGCACTGTTCGGAAGCTAAATAATTCATTCACAAATTCCATTAAGACTGTCGATGCCTAACTCTGTTAATTCAGTTAATTTCAATTTCTTAAGATTAATTAATGATAAATTTTCCTCCTCAATCATCCAATTTTGTTAATAAAGTGAAAATAATTTTGTAATCAAAATAATATCCCCTGTGGCCACTGGTTTGTTTCACCATTTTTTTTCGTTAAGGACAAATTGTTAAAGAACTATTAATATATTTTATTTTTTCATCATTTATTATTAATTTTATCTTTTCCATACTCGTGACTCCTTCGCACAGCTCTTGACAAGAAAAGCCTCTCGTAATAAAAACAATGTGATTCAAAAGCACGATAGCATGGTGCCTATAACATATACGAAGTATCTTTAATGTTTTTTTTCCATTTTCTTAATTTTTTTAAAAACAAACTACGTGAGAGCGCGACGGACAATGAGCAACACGGTCGGGTTTTTTTGTTCTTGTTATTCAGAGTTTATTTAATCAATGAAATTTACCATTTCTCAAACCCTCTTCGTTTGTTTTCTATTACTTCCTGCAATATACACATTTATTACTTCAATTATTTCTTCGTATTTCAGTATTATCCCCCTCCACTGCTATTACTCCTTTGCTTCATGCACTTTCTGTTGACGCCCCCCCATTTTTTATTATTCCAATTTTGTTTTCTTTTAATTCCGTAAATATATTATTACAAATTCGCTTATATAAGTCACGGTCACACTATGCGTAGAGAAGAATAATTGTATATGTATTACAAAGAAGCGGTAATACAACATTTAATTACCATAACGTAATATATTCATGTGTTTGTGTATTTTCAGTGTTTATTTTTATCAATTTTTTTTTTCAATTTTTTGTCTCTCATCCTTCATGTTGATGTCGTGTACGCTTGCTGTGTTCTATGTGTGTGAGTCTGCATGCATGAAGTATGTATACGTGATTTAATTTCTCGTGTACATATTCATGTACAGAATGTTGAGAGTTCTGGGGAGAATGCGAGGGTATTAAAAACATTTTTAATCATTAATATCTCTATGGACACTGGATGAAAGTACGTGTTAACAAGTGATCTTCTGGGATCGTTTTATTATTCTGTTTTACTCAAGATGTCGACTTATGCATTAGTTCGTTTGCATGATTTTTGGGAATGTGTCCATGAATTTAATGATTTTATTTACTTTTGGTTTTCTTTTTTTTTAACTTGGGTATTTCGTGTCCTCATTTCATCGACAAGTCCGCAGCCATCCCCCGGATGTTTGAAATTCAGGCGAAGAAAAATTATTTAATTAAACAAAAATAAAACTGAATCCTCCTAGTATACGAGAGTACAGGCCCGCACACATAGTCTTAGTTCTCGTACTGTTACGCACCTGCAGTATCTATCACCAGCCATCACTTTCTTGCAATCTCCCCCCATTTTACTGCTTCTGTTTAATGAGGATAATATTGTTGATTAGGAATGGTAATAATCGTTTACATTTAACTTATAAATGGAAGAGATGATGAACAGTGTTGGAAAAAATTAAAAATTTCATAGAGCGTTTAGGAGTAATTTCTAGGAGGGGGATCTTAATTTTAATTTAGGGGAGAAGAAATCATGAATTCAGTAGCGAAATTGTAAAACGGTTTAAGTCGACTTATCTCCAAGTTGAGTTTTTGAGGAATATTTCGGAATCTAAGGGAGATAGCGAAATTTTCGTAATTACATTTGTTGTAGCTCTCAGCTGGCGCTACAAAAAAGGTTATAACAAAAATTTTGCTATCTCCCTTAGATGCCGAGATATTCATTGAAAACGGCTCAATAGTCAAAATTGACTTGTACCGTTTTACCACTTCGCTACTGAATTTAAAGTAAAATAAAAGGAATTTGCAGTTTCTATCGATTTTTATATCAAATCGTGAATTTTCAATGACGATATTGTTTTAAACATCAGAGGAACTGGCACTTGATAAAAATTTGCAAGAAATGTATCATAATCTAGATAAACTTTTCTCACTTGAGATAAGTAAATTTTCGATAGTAAATAGTAGGGTTTTTTCTTCTGAAATTAAGTAGCGAGTTTATCATTTTCAGTGCAATGACTTCAACACCGAGAAAGAAAAATTTCTCGGTTTTTGAACCAAAAAAATTGCAAGTTAAAAATTACCCCAAAAATAAAATCTAATGCTGACCATTTGAAGTCTGTCTCGAACTGACAAAGTCTTGTGGCAAAAGTGGATTTAGTTGATTCAAAAAATTGCTATGATCTGTCTGCACTACTTATTCATTCTAGTCTGCACTACTTATTCGATACTTCCATGCATAGTTTGCTTGCGAAAAAAGTTCGTTTTATACGACGCATTTTATTTTTGTAGATTTTGTTAAACTATCGATCAGATTGCCGTGCTAAATATACGGGTTATGTGATTTATTATTATTCAATAACTCACGAAATTTCATCGGTGTGCAATCATTTTACTGCGTTTTTTCTAAGCTTTTGTAAATCTTTCGAAAACTAGAGAAAACGTAGAAAAATGGTTGCACCGTGAAACTTGGTGAGTTACCTATTGAATTGTAATGAAACGCAAGAACGGCATATTTTTTCACGTCAATCCGATCGATAGTTTGCCAGAAATCTACAAAAACCGTGAAAATTGGCGGAAATGCAGAACATTTTTAAACAATTTACAATGAGGGATGTTATTTCGACTGGTATATTCATATTCTTTATTACCCCGGGTTATTTTACTCGGTCAAATCTTAGATGTTTTCAAGGTACACATTACACCCATTATTACATCCATTATTTGTTATTTTTAAACAATTTCTTTTTTGGTAATGTTCAGCTAGCGATTTTGTTGACTCAAACAAAACTCGCTCGAGAGCTTGTTTGGTTTTCTCTCAGTGTAGAATTTTTTTTCTCAGTGATATTATCTTTTTTTAAACCCAAATATTAGTGAAATTAGAGTCATATGTTTGACACTCACGTGGTAAGCAGTGCGGCGAGTCACTGGCAGCATTGCTTGCGCATTCCATCGGAGCTCATTGTTGGTTTAACATCGATGGGTTCAACATTTTGTGCCCTGATTGTATCGCCCTCCGGTGGGTCCCTTATCTGTTTCTGCGATACGATTCTGTAAATCTCTGCAAAAATAAAGATGATTCATTAGTCCCAATTAATTGACTCTTTCGTTCAAATTGTTCAATTGATTAATCAAATCGATGGCAGCATGACTCACCGGTTAGTATATTTTGGAAGGCCGTCTCAACGTTGGTGGAGTCAAGTGCCGATGTCTCAATGAAGGAGAGGCCATTCTTTTCGGCGAATGCTTTGGCCTCGTCAGTTGGCACTGCACGTAGATGCCTCAAGTCGGACTTGTTACCGACAAGCATGATAACAATATTCTGATCAGCATGATCTCGCAATTCCCTCAGCCATCGCTCTACATTCTCATACGTCAAGTGTTTTGCTATGTCGTAGACCAAGAGTGCACCAACAGCTCCTCGATAATATCTAAATATTTTGTTACAATATCATTAACAATTGCTTTTGAATTACATCAGTGTTGGTGTTAAGGATTACCTTTAAATGTGGGCATCTGCATAAAAAAGGCCCACTTTGTCGGTTTGGAGTTACGTATATTCCGGTAATCTTAGTGAGATTCCTCACATTTTGAGCCCAAAATTAACACAATAGTATGAAAAATGACGTCGGTATAGAAGATCAAAAAATCATTTTAACATTGATTTAAATGGAAGGTGTGAACACAAAAACGTGAATATCTCGCAAAATAAATGCGACAAAGTGGGTCCTTCTCACGTGGACGTACACAAATAACGAAAAAAACAATTTTAAGGGTAGGGAGAACAGGCCAATTGCTGGACGATTAAGGGAAATTCGAGTTTCGTAGGAGGACCTAAAATAACAGAATCACCGAAATGGGAATTTGATGGCCTCCGTATCTTCAAGAATTTTTTAATTAGCAGAAAAAAAATTATTTGAAGTCAAAATAATAAAACAAAGAATAATTAAATTAAGAAATAGTTGAATGCACCCAAAACCCCCAATTTCTGGACGTCTGGGTCATATTTTTTTTATTTATTAAATGTCGATTAATGGAAAAAAAATTGATCACATGCTTATATACGAGTAATATTATTGAAAAATGAAATTATTGACCTGTTCACCCTATCCAAAGCGAGAATAGTCTTTGCAATAAAATTGGTTCCTTCGGTTATCATAGTTTTGCTTCCGAATGCAAGCATTATATTTGTCAAATCCGAATTTTCCTATTTTTTGTGTCAGGATACTTAATTTTGGCTTAGGAGTTCGAATGTGCTATTTAAAAAAAATCAGGATCTAAAATAAAAGAATCATCTAAATGGGGATATGATGGCTTTGATACCTTCAAGAATGTTTTAATTAGCAGAAAAAAATTATTTGAAGTCCAAATAACGAAACAAAGAATAATTGAATTATTAAACTCAAATATTTTTGTATTTTTCTTATTTTTTAAAGGTCGATCAATAACAAAAATAATATCATATTTTTCCTTCCGAATGTAAGCATTGTATGCAACACGTTCATCGTGAAAACTCCTTCAGTTATTTCTTACAATGTACTAAAATCGTCAAGGCAAAATTCCTAGTTTTTACGATTGTTTTATTATAAAATATGTCGTTTTTATCAAGTGCTGGTCGTTACATTTTGATCCACATTTATTATCGTTTTGAATTATATTCGGGACTAATTGTCATTTTTTTCTGTCTGTGTTTGGTTTCCAGAGCCTGAGAAAGTTTAGATTTTAAGCGAAATATTACGATTCGATATTGAATCAGCACTCTTTGAAATTAATAATGTCATAAATTAATAGTGTCCGAGCCTACATGACTGGGATTAATTTCGTTCCACTACTTGCAATGTTTTTGTTAATTAATCTTCAGGAAATCTATAGTTTCATTTGAACAATGAGCTGCAAACAACTCAATAGATAATCTTCTAACTCAATAGATAATCTTCTAACGAGCAAAATGAGCAAAATTGCATTGAATTGTCCTTTACCCTATTATAAACTTCCTGAAATTGAAGTAACAGCAGCATGAATTTTTAACTTCCTGATCGGTAGGGAAGAGGTTATTGTAATGACCCCGATAATCGAATGTGGGTATTTCGTCATAGCTCTACGTTCCTTGACCTCTAGAATTATTCTACGACGTTTTTAGATATTTCTACGTTTGTGTATGTGCGTATGGGACCAAAATTTTGGTCTACGATTTCTCTTGATCGAACGGTTCGATTGTAATGTTTCTGTGGGTAATCGATGCATCTTCATGATAGTGAAACCTGATTAGAGTCTGAACTCGATGATCTCAGTGTATTTTTTGTTCTTTTCGTAAAAAACATGTGAAAAAACATAAAAAATGTAGATCTTTTGAAAATTCCTAGATTTCTTCTACACAAATGATAGGATTAATTTTTTTTTTACTATCAATGCATTTTAATGTAACTCTACTCCGACTGAATTTTCATAAAAATCGTCTCTGCTGTTATTCAATTAATTAGATAAGACTTTCAGAATTGGCAATTTTTTTCTAATTAATAAGCACCCTGCCGTCTGATTTTTAATATTGTGAATATCAATTCAACTTAAATTCAAATCGTTCGTAGAATTCTTTTCAATTTTGGACATTAATATTTCAATGACAACTTGAATGCTCAAACGTTTTGTAAATATCGAACGTTACATTTTATTGAAATTGCAATAGATTGAGAATTGAGAACAATATTTGCCTAAATTTTCACAGTGTACAATAATTATTCCCTGCCGTATGGACATGAAAACAGGAATTTAGTTCAATATTCCATAAATTCACAGATTCGTCAATAACAACATGAATGGAAATGTCATGTAAATTAGTGTTGGTAAAAATTTCATGATTTTATATTAGAAATTTCCAAAGTAATTTTCTAACAGCGCAAGGAACTATTCCCCAGTCGTCTGAACGAAATGTATTCAAAAATAGATTCAACAATCATCCCCAGTGAAATGCAAACACTTGTGGTTGTTTTTTAGAAAAAGATCACAAAAATGTAACATTTTGAAAACCTATTTAATCGCAGGGCCTGCCCCACTCGAAAACAGATAACCGTCCTTTAGTATCGATTATGGATTCATTAACGCCACAAATAAATGGAAGAATCTCCCAAATAATCAAAATTCAAGGTCGATAATTCGTTTCCCCCAAAAATTCAAGTACTCACGCAGAGGTAATAGCTCGATAACGTTCTTGTCCAGCAGTATCCCATATTTGGGCCTTAATTGTCTTTCCATCTACCTGTATACTGCGTGTTGCAAACTCCACGCCAATGGTAGACTTGGACTCCAAATTGAATTCATTACGAGTGAATCTCGACAGGAGATTACTCTTACCTACACCGGAGTCTCCAATGAGGACCACTGTAACCAAAAATACCCGGCATTAAGTACCCATTGACGGTTCCAGTGAACATGTTTACCATCGTCCATGACAAATTATATGCATTGGATATTCAAATTGAGCGATCAACGAACATCAGTGGGTGCCCCGTGGCTCCTCAAACAAGGCCAGTAGGTTCACCGTATGACAATCAAAGTCTTCCTACACGTGTATCAATCAACCGACATTTTTCAAATTACTATTCCAGATATTCCGTCAGTGGAAAATATTCTTTTATCAGTTCACTCTCATTCACGTTTATCCATTTTTCGAAGATGGATTTTTTTTTGTTTGAGGAAGATTGTGGAACTTTCATCGCTTGTTCGTAAAGTGGGATATTGCGCACACGGAGGAAAAATGGGGATGAAATATAGGGTTCGATACTCGTGGGAAAAGAGTTCTTTGACCTTCGGGAGGATAGCACTCGCCTTCGGCGAGCTACACACCTCCCACGGGTCAAAAAACACTTCTCCTTTTCGTTTGAAATTGGCGGTTTGCAGGTCCCTCGACACGAAAATTAATTTTCATCACGCTGTGCGAAAAAGTAACTTTTTAGGCATGCTTCGCGTGCCTAAAACGTCCCTTTTCCACACATTGTGATGAAAAATATTGTTCGATACTCGTGGGAAACGAGTATCGAACAACTCGCCTTCGGCTCGGGCTATAAACCTCCCACGAGCCAAAAAACACTTTTCCGCACTCATTAGTAACGAAATATACTAATACACACCTCGCCATGGAAAACCTATCACCCTCCCCCACGTGCTTGTCATCCTCGCCTTCGGCTCGGAAGGCAATCTTGCACGTGGGGAACGGTGATCTGTTTTCCAAGGCTCGGGCATGTAATGTACTATTTTTGACACTGCGGCTACGTTCACCTCATGCCAAAAAGTACGAGTGGAATTTTCATCGCTTGTTCGTAAAGTGGGATTTTACGCACACGGAGGAAAAATAGGGATGGAATATAGGGCGCGATACTCGTGGGAAAAGAGTCCTTTGACCTTTGAGAGGGTAGCACTCGCCTTCGCCGAGTTACACACCTCCCACGGGTCAAAATAGTATATTTCGTTACGAGTGCTGAAAAGAGTTTTTTGGCTCGCGGGAGGTTTATAGCACGCGCTGAAGGCGAGTGATATAATCCCACGAATCGAAAAACACTTTTCCCACAAGTATCGAACGATATTTTTCATCACAATGGGTGGAAACGGGACGTTTTAGGCATGCGGAGCGTGCCTAAAAACTTACTTTTTCGCACAGCGTGATGAAAAACACTTTTTCATCACGCTGTGACGAAAAGTGAACTTTTCGGCACGCTCCGCGTCTGCGGAGATTTGCGGAAAGCGGAATTTTGCACACGCGGAGCGTGCGTAAAATTTCACTTTACGCACAAGTGGTGAAAAATATACTATTGTCGCACGCCAGACTGTAAACTGGCCCTTGTGATTTACAAGCTGACGTGCAACAGAATATACGGAATGCAATGGTCAAACAAAAATCTGGGATACTTCAGCAAATAATGCAGATATTTGAAACTTTGAGGCCCACATTATCTATTCTATTTGTGAATAATGCGCTCGGACTGATGAATCGACATGTCAGTAGCGAAGTGATAAAACGGTACAAGTCAATTTTTACTATTGACCAGTTTTCAATGAATATCTCGGAATCTAAGGGAGATAGAAAAATTTGTATTATAAACTTTGTTGTAGAGCCTATCGAGGGCTACAACAAATGTAATTATGAAAATATCGCTATCTCCCTTAGATTCGGAAATATTCCTCAAAAACTCAATTGGGTGTTAATTCGACTTTAGAGTAACTCTACCCTGACAGTAAATTCAAAGATTATTGAAAACTGCAAAAAAGTTGCAAAAAAGTCGATTAGATTCGGAATTCTAATTTTTTTCTCAATTTAATTATCGTTTTGGTTTTTCAAAGAAGAAATGTTTAAAAATCATGATTTGGCCCAGTGTCTTATGTGAAAATCAACATTTCCATTGTAATCAAATATTAAAATCTGAATTTTTTTTCATTAAATGTGAAAAAATCAAGAATTTTTTTGACACCTCATAAAAAATAATCCACCGTTTTGCAAACAAGTTTTATTATTTATTTATAAGAGGGAAATGTTTGAAAAAATATCAGTATTTTGCGAAATTTAATTTAGATAATACTGACTGGATATGAATTTTTTCAAATTTTTTCCATGCAATTTAGTTGAAAAATTTAAAAACTGAAAATATCCAAAAGTATAGCGTAGCCCGGCCGAAGGGTAGAGCTACTTTAGCCGTTTCACCACTTCGCTACTGATTTTAATCAACAAAGAAAAAAATAAATTACTCTGTCGCTCAATTGAAAAAAATAAAAACACCGAGTGTTTGCGGTTTTGAATAAACATCCTCCAAAATTTCTGAAAACATTATTTTACAACATAAGTTAGACCACGTGCCTCGCTAACCTGTTCATTCGCTGGGACTCCACACACATAATTATGCAATACATAACACCGTGCAAATCTGAGCAACAAGATGAATCGAAAATTTGATACTTCCGGTGCGATACCGTATCCAACGAAAGAAATCGAAATTGCGAGAATGGGAGGAATAACGCAGGAAACAAACTCCAATGTGTCACAACGATGATATCATCATACACACATGACATTTCGTACATGTTGCACAATGTACACCAGGTACAACACACAAGAACCCAAATAAGTTCACCGCGACAGTCTTTCTATTTCAAAGATCATAAACCAAGTGAAAAATAATTCCATCCAATTAGGAGTTTAAAGGCCCACCCCAAACAGCAGTACTTTGTCATGGATTTGTTTCCCAAATTAGTCAATGATGACTGAAAAATTTCACACCAGTGGAACCAAAGAATTCCACAAATAGGAAAAATTCTCATTGAATTCGTAATTACGCCTCGTCATTGGAATTGATACGAATGGAACCACCGGTGGGGGGGACTTTCAGAGGCGGATAAAATAATTTGATACAACGACGAAGAGACAAAAGTAGCGGTTACAACGGCAAAATCATGCCCGCCTTGGCGATGAGGGGCACATCACCCGTGGCGTAACGTCAGTTCTCATGACGTGCTGACTTCAATGTCAATGATTCGTTGGCTTTTTAATGCGCGTGTAAAGTCAAAGACGAGAATAAAGAACGAAACACAGGCCTGATGATGGAATTAACAGATGGATAAGAGCGGGTGGGGAAGGATGGGATGACTAACGCCACGTTACTGACGAGAAGAATAAAAAAAGACTAATGATAATTATGGTTATGATTTTTTTCGAGGGAGAGGACAGACTATAGGATGGAGTATAACAAGACGCGGTCTTTACCTTTAAATAAATAATCGTACTCATCGTCTCGAGTGCCCATCTCTTGTCACTGATGAAAACAAGCTCTCGACTGATGACGAACCAAAAAAAAATGACCGGATTTTAACTTTTAGCGTGCAAACTCAGTGTAATCACGTATTTATGTACAATTAAGTACTGTGGTCTTGTGAACGAGAAAGAAAACGTTTTGGGCACTCGGTGTCGGTCTCACTCCCCTTATTTTCCTCGACTATTCCTCTCTTTCTCTCCTTGTCAACTTCTCCAACACCAACGTCCGCTCCGAGATTTTTTTTCCTCTTTCTTTCGATATTTCTGTCTCTGTCTTCTTTCTTCGGGGTCTACAAACACTTTGTTCCTTCACTGAATTATTATTTTTTTTTTGGAAGTGCGGGATTGATAGCAACGGATATTTGATGTTACAAAAATAACGTACACATGCACGTATCGGTATTTAATACCGTGGGTTACAGTGATTTTACACGAGTATCACGATTGCAATACAATAAATTGTTTTTTTGCTTTTCTTTCAATTTAACTGTACAATATGGCCTCCTTTCTACGCCCCTCTCCCAGCAGCCTAGGAATATGTTAACTTTGTCTGCACATGCGCCATTCGGCGACAGGCGGGGGGCGCATGCGCTGGCTGGAACGTCAAAATTTTATTGCCGACGACCAGCTGACTGCAGCGCCCGGATTTTTTATGAACTAGGAGGTTGTTTAAACAATTGTGAGAGTGGGTGGACTTTAGGAGATACTCACGTTCAATTGAAATGAGGATCTGAATAATTCGAGTATTATTTCACTTGGATCTCTCAATTGGGTACCAATTATTTTATTTGTCGAGACTTTAGAAATCGTTATTAACGATTTCTTTTATTTAAGAGGCAATGGAACGTACCATCGGAGTAGAAACTGCATTCCAAGTTTATTCGTCGTCAGACGACTGTTTAGTAAAATCCAAATTCTTACGCTATAGAGACCAAGATTATTGATGATGTAGGAATTTGGGTTTTGGTAAATAGTCGTCGGATGACGAAACAACTTGGAATCTGATTTCTACTCCGATGGTAAGCTCCATTGCCTCTTAAGGGGTAACAGAATGCCCTTAATTTTCCAAATTTTTAAACAAATTTCTTGCCGAAAGTTATCGATATTATTACAAATCAAAGCACATTAATCTCCAGGAGGCAATGATGAAGATCAATGTGCTTTGCATGCCAAAAATATTAATTACTTTGCGCCGGAAATTTGTTTTGAAAATTTCAGGGAAACAGTGGCCTTCTGTTACCCCTTAAGGATAATGGGGCGGGTAGTGGGATATTCAAAAGATGCAGCCAATTTTATGGAGATTTTTTCACACATTATTGAATCCATTTAGAGACCGTGTGCAAAATTTGAGAAACACCGGAGGCAGGTCAACAAGAAAAATGATTTTTAAAGTTGCTGCTTGTACATGAGGTTAAAGGAGCATCGATAACTCGTGCATTTCCCCTACATTATCGACCAGTCGGCAATGTGGAAAAAATATTGAAATTATCGGTGATCTATTCAGCCTCATGTATAAGCAGCAACTTTAAAAATCATTTTTGTCGTTGCCCTACTTACGGGGTTTCTCAAATTTTGCAAACGGTGTCTAAATGGATTCAATAGTGTGTGAAAAAATCTGCATAAAATTGGCTGCGTTTTTTGAATATCCTACTCCTCGCCCGATTATCCTTAAAAGAGATGAGAGTAATTCTGGGATTGGTCGTAATAATTAAAGGAATTATTTCAATTCGTGGAGATGATTTTACAATTTTTTTTTNTTTATTTCAATGAAGATGTTTTGATTATGTGGAATAAATGATTCATTTGTAATGAATGAATCACTCGAATCAAATAAACTATCCATTTGAAGTGGACCATCCTCATGCATAAGCAGCAACTTTAAACATCATTTTTGTTGTTGTCCTGTTTCCGGGGTTTCTCAAATTTTGCAAACAATGTCTAAATGAATTCAATAGTATGTGGTAAAATATGCATAAAATTGGCTGCATTTTTTGAATATCCTACTCCTCGCCCGATTATCCTTAAAAGAGATGAGAGTAATTCTGAGATTGGTCGTAATAATTAAAGGAATTATTTCAATTCGTGGAGATGATTTTACAATTTTTTTTTTCATCGTGAAAAAATCATTGGATATTTCTTCGATTCATTTCAATAATATTCTTGCGAGAAATTGGCAACTCAAGTTTTTATTTCAATGAAGATGGTTTCATTATGTGGAATAAATGATTCATTTGGAACAAATGAATCATTCGAATCAAATAAACTATCCCTTTGAAATGAATAAAACCCGAGTAAAAATTGAGTTCACGTTGGGATCGAAGGTTCATTCCGAGCTATTCGAACAAACCCATTTATTTGATCCAAATGATGTCTATTAAAATCAAATTAACCATTTCTCTGGGTGCAGTTGAGTGTTCCAGGAATACCTCTTAATCTGAGAGGCAGCTAAGTTGTCTTAATTACTTTTTTATGGAGCTGAGTAAGAGCTATAAAAAGATTTCGACAAAAAATTTTGTTACCTCTAGTAGAGGTATTTATAGGTATTCGTCGGAAATTCAGCTAGGAGCTGATTCCACTTGTTGATAAACATCTCTTGAACATTATCCGTCAGTTTGAGTTTGATTTTTAAATCACAATTCTAGTAGAAAATGCAATGGAAGAAAGAAAATTTCGCAATTTTTAACCGCGTAAGAAACAGGAATAAAAACAGCTAAAATAGGATGTGCACTGTATATATAAGATTCATAAAATAATTGAAAAGTCGCTGTCGTTGAAAACTGAAACGTCGTTTCATACTAATTGCAAAAGTATAAACTATAAACAACTAACAACTATAAATTTAATTAAACAATTGTAATTTTCTCTGCACAATAACTAGCATTCAGAGCTAATATTTAACATACTTTTCCCTTACACGTTTCGCCATTAAAGTATTAAATTTTCAGTATTAAATTATTGTCATATTGAATATTCAGATGCATTTATTATTGAAATTTCCAAAAATTGATTTGATTACTTATTTATAGATTTGAATAAGAGCTATAAATCGGTCTGTTTACGAGCGTGCGAAAAGGGAATTTCGATTGCGTACAGCGAAGCTTTGGAATTTTACGCACTCTTGCACAAAAACAACCACATTACCCCCACTATCGTTCTGAACAGTGAACTCGGCAGGTATCGCAAAAACAGGATGTGTTACAGGTGCGTGCGAAAAAGTGGCACTTTACGCACTAGTAACACAATATACTCAATTTCTCACTACCAGTTCAAAGATTTCGATGTAAAAAGTTGAGAATGAGAGCCTGAACGCCGTTTAGTAGTTAAAAAATAAAAGTTAAATGTTAATATTGATTAATCTTTCAAGTCTTTTTTAGCTGGATATTGAGATCCTATTTACTAAAGATGAAAGAAACGTGAAGTTGTTTTATATCGAAATATCTCGACACTACCGGACCACTAATCCTCAGTTCTGATTGGTTAATGAGTTACGTAAAGTAATCGCTGAAAAAAATCCTCGGTATTTTCAAATGGTTCAAATGCCAAAATTTTTTTCTGCGTCATATTGTTCATTTTTTCATGTGTGAAGTTTTATATCTATATTTAATATATCTTTATATTAAAACATCTAAATTGCCTAATTGTTGATCATGAGAAAAAACATAGTATTTCGAAATGTTTTTAACTCACCAATTATTCTTCACTTCCCAAATTTTAAGTTTTTCTATCTATCATGCGCAAAAATGATCAATTCTTGCTTCTCAGATTTTCATACATAAATTCTAAACTCTACAAAATTTATGAAAATTCTTTGGTTTCCCAAATAATTCGAGAAAATTTTGTGAAGATCTACTGCTGCTCTGGAAAACTGTGGAATTTTCCAAAGAATGTAAGAAATTTTCTCAGTTTTCTAGGCAATCAATTCATAACCCTCCCCTCATTTTTCAACAATTACAGATTTTAATCAGATTATTTTAAAAAGCCAAAAACAAAGAATTAATCGAAGATTAAAAATTATTCATTGATGTTTCACTCTTCCTTCTCTTAATTCTCTTTAACTCATTATCAATATTTATAAAACAACTATGAGTATGTGGAGTTTAATAAATTCAATTTCTCCATTTCCACAACAAATAGATAAGCGCGCGCGAAAGCGCGCGCACAGATCTAGTGTATAAGAATGTCAAAATGTAAAAAATGTAAAAAGTATATGCATTTTTAACATTTTTACATGTAAATGTATATCCATTTTCTCTAATATGTAACATGTTTGTATTCACGAGTATATTTTACAGGGCAATGGGAAGGGAACAAAATGTAAAAACCCGGGAGGGTGTCCATCTGGACCTAATAAATAAAAAATTATATTAACACTTAAGGATGTTCGACACCCTTTTAGCCAAAATTGACGTTGTTTTCATTTTTCTGGCAAATTATCGATGGGAGTGACGTGAAAAAATATTACGATTTTGTGGTTTGTCATTCTTTAATGGCTCACGAAGTTGCGTAGTGGTGCGATAATTTTCATGCGTTTTTTCTACAGTTTTGTGATTCTTTTTAAAAGTTTAGAGAAAACGCAGGAAAATGTTCGCACCACCTTAAAATTTCGTCAGACATTAAATAATGACAAAACGCAAAAACGTTATATTTTTTCACGTCAATTCCATCATAAGTTTGCCAGAAAAATTAAAAAAACGTGAATTTTAGCAGAAAGGGTGTAGAACATCCTTAAAAAAAAAGCAAAAAATGTTCGAAACAGGGGCGCTCTTTCCCCTGCCCCTCCCCTTCGGTATTGAATTGTCGACAGAAATCTACCTTCTCGACATTCTCATACTCCGTCGAGTCACGTGATCCTTCAACAGCGCATGGAGGATGTCGCGGAATAAAAAAGCTGCATATATAGAGACTGCAGACAGTGTTGTCCCTCGGTTCTCCCGGTTCTCCCCTTTTCCGGTGCGTGCGCACTTCCATGTGCGCCAATGTGCGCGGGATTGACCCAAGTGATAGCCAGAGAAAACCCCACAACGCGTCGATGATACCCAGATGGGGGTTGCAGAGACGGTACGTTACAACATACCCTCAAACATTAAGAAAAATCAATCATTTTTTGGTGCCTTCATTTCTCGGTAATTCTCTCGTCTGCGTGTCTCAGCGTGAAAATCTCGAGTGTTTACATCTTCATTTGGAGTGAGAGTTTTAGCGTTTATTTTTAATTCGGAGCATCTGTTGTTTAACGAGTTCTTTTGTGACAAATTCCAGTGTCAAGGATTCTCGTTCACGGGGTCAATGGATCGAGCGACAATTATTTTGAGTTTTTTCTATCAACTGTGAGGAAATTAACTTTTGGGGTAAAACGGAGTTTGCCAAAAATTTGTGATGTTGTTGTCTATTAATAGTTGAGATTGTGTTGAAAAATCAATGCTGAAATGTCGAGTTTTATTCACAGATTGTGACATTGAGAGTGATGTTGATTTCATTTTGACGATGCCGAATGGTTTTTATCGAACATCGGAGTTTGATAAAGAAAGAAAATATTATACTGTTTTTTATTGCTCCATGATAACAGAAGTGCAACTCTCGAAACGGATTCGAAGCTCATATAAATCATCCTCGTACTGTGGCGTAAAATCTGTAGAGAGTTGAGTAGTTTCCCTCCCAGAATCGTTCTAACGTTTCATCGATTTTTTTTTTCTATTCCAGATTTATTCTCAGGGAACTAAAAATGTGCCTGGCACGTGATGACAGGACTGTCACACCCCTAGAATATCTGTGAATGAATATTTTTTGTGTGACTGAGTTCGTCCAGAACATGTTTATAAATACTGCATGATGTCGAGCAGTGATAAAACCTCGAATGAAACAATGGAGCTCAGTGATGCTGGCAATGACAAGAGCTCTGTGCATCTTGCTGTATCGTTCAGAAAAGTGTGCATTGCTACCGCCTGTTTACCACTCGTCACGTTGTTAATCTGTTTCGTTACTGCATACATATTCCAACAGGATGACATACATGAGACGCATTGTCGAGTGAGTAAAGTCGTGTGATAACATGGTTAAATTTCATTTCTGGTGGGTGAACGATTAGGTTTAATGATAGTGGGAATCTTCAGATCGTTAGTTTTAAAGTGAATTTTTATCGTAAATTCACGTACGATAGTAGGTAGATAGATAAAATGGGTTTTATTGTACCCGGAGATACAGATCCCCTGAGGGCAAACAGAAAGTTTACGTCGATTACATTATTGAAACATTATAGTCATAATTGTGTAGAGAGTTCTCGTAGAGCTTTATTCAGTTCCTTCATTTGTTTAGTTATTATTTAAAAAAATTTTGCAATTCTTGATATTGCCACTGAGAAAATACTTAATTTCTGAAGTATTGATTTTTTTAATGTGGTTAAAATTCATGCTGTCATTGAAATGTTAACAATTGTTTAACACGAAAAATTCTATTGTTTGTTCAATTTTCAAGATGAATAAGAAATTAAATTAACGATTTAATGTTAAATTGCAGTCTAATTGAGCATAATGAACATTGAAATGGCTTTACTATTGAAATTTTGAAAAGTTTTTAACAGTGTAAGTTTGTTTATAAACAAAGGTATCAAGAATGAAAATAGATCTTGAGTGTTCCACTTCACTCCACTTTCTCCTAGATTTGCAGATTTTGAGTCATTACATTTTCCAAGCAGAGTTCAATTGCATGACATTTTCAAAAATAACAGTAATCCATCACATTTTTACTCACTCGAGTTTCTGTATTTTGTCCCACATCCCTTATAAAATTATAACCACTCGTCACCTTGTTAATCTGTTGGTTACTGCATACATATTTCAACAGTAAGATATAAATGCGACGCATTGTCGAGTGAGTAAAGTCGTGTGATAACGTGGTTTAATTTTGTTTGTGTTGGGTGGCATTCCAAGATATTTGAATGCCATAATAATGTGTTTTCAACTTCGCGAAAGGGAATGATTAGGTTCAACAGTAGTGTGAATTTTCAAATCGTTAGTTTTAATGTGACCTTTTATCGGAAATTCACGTAGGATAGTAGATAGATAGACAGAATGCGTTTTATTATACCCCCTAACCCCCTGAAATACACATCCCCTAAGGGCAAACAGAAATTTTACGTCGATTACATTATTGAACCATTATTGTCATAATTGTGTAAATACTCCTCTGATATAGAGTATTATCCAATGCATTCACTTGTTTAATCATTCTTCAAATAATATTGGAAGGTGGGACAACGTGGGCGTTTACATACATTTAGAAATACAAATAGGAAATTACTCTTGAAATTTCAAGTAAAAAATCTTGAAATTCTCAATACGAACTAATTTACATGAAATTTTTTTTGATATTGTCATTGAAAAAACAGTTAATTTCTGGAGTATTTAATTTTTTTTTAATGGTTAAAATTCATGCTGATTTAATCTCAAATTTATTATTGGAATTTCAAAAAGCTTCCAACAGTGTAACTTTATTCATAAACGAAGGTATCAAGAATGAAAATGGATCTCAAGTGTTCCGCATCGCCCTACTCTCCCCTAGTTTTGGAGATTTTAAATCATGAAATTTTTCACCCAGAGTTCAATGTAATTACATTTCCAAATACAACAGTAATTCATCACATGTTTATCCACTCGAGTTTCGATATTTTGTATCCCACCCCTTATAAAATTATGAAACTTGACCAAGATAACACTCTACATATAAACGAACCCATTAAGAACCTGGCAAAATGATTTCTAGTATAAGAAATTCATGGTTCAGCAATTAGTGATCGAAAAAGCTCTTCATTTTGAATAATACCCACTTATTTATTACGTCATAAATTTTTAAAAATCACCTTTTTTCTGTCTGAGTTAAAAATGGAATATAAGGTCAGATATAGAAAAAATTGGATGATGAAATCATGGCAAGATTAGAATCTTCCATTGAATGAAACCTCTGATGCACAATTACAAATGTTGGAAAAAATTCAAATGAAAAAAAAATTTAATACTCTCATATCCTGAAGTCAATACATATTAAATCAAACTCCTGACTAATCCACCATAATATTAATTTTGTCTCATTTATTTATTCTGGAGCTTGAGAAAAATAAGAAAATGGGAAGATTCTCGATGATTTTATTTACGTTTCCACGTGTCCATCCAAAAATAATCTGGCCCTGTCTTTCAGGTTTACAACGTGCTGCCCTCAATATCAGCGATAACTGGAGTCTCCCCCCAGAGGTACCTCTGGCGAGTCAGCATAGCCCTCCACATCGGACCCAGACTCGTCATAGCAATTGTCTATCACTCGTTTTACCGTAAAATTCTCACAGCACTTGAACATCTGCCAACGAAAGTACTGGGATGCAGACTCCTCAACCTCTGTTTCTGGCTCAACATCGCTGAAATAGCGTCACTCTGTGGTGTAACATACATCTCAAATCGCGAGAATTACTGTGAGTCAATGAAAATATTTTATGGGGAAGAATTTCAATCTTGAGACCTCGAGCGACAATTAAGAAGTGGTTGTGATAACAGAATTGTCACTGACATGGGCCTGATTCAATTAGCCTTATTGATAAGTTTATGCCACTTTGCAGATGCCCATGAAAAAATCTTCATCATCTTCATGGTCAGTTCACTGATGTACATGCTGGCTGCTGTCAAGTTGGGACGCTTGGTGACACCAACTGCACAAAGTCTACATTATAAGGAGAAGCTGTTTGTCACCAGTCTTGTTAGCACTGTTGGGCTCATTATTTTCTTCCTGAAGCATCGATTACTGTGTCATGATTTGGGTAAGTCCACTTTAAAAATCACAAAGTCAATTTATATAGAAGATAAGTAAAATCACTGAGCCATTTTGTGGTCGCAGGAACCATTGACTGATGGTGACTGTTGTATTTAGTTCAATGTCGAGTCCTTCTTGGCTTTTACGTTTTGTGAATTGTCTGAACTCTTATCGCATCAGCTGTAGAATAAAGTTGCCCTGTTGGGAAATGCATTAAAAGATTGAATTTCGGTGCTTTGGATGTATTTTAATAAATGTGAAAGTGGTTTTGTTAATTCTGATAAAATTACAGAGGAATTAAGACTTAATATTTACGTATACGAATATACTTCTTGGAAATTTTCATCGCATTATAGTTCTACTAGAGGTTAGAGGGATAAAATTCAAAATTTTATGGAGAAATTAATGGAAGTTTTAAATGCCAGTTCAATTATTTATTGATAATTAATGAAAAATTTAGGCAAATATATTTTTTCAAGTTTTAATTCATTGAAAATTGAGCATAATTTGGTACAGAATACTCCTGTTTTACCCGAAAATTCTACCAAAGCGAAAAATTTGCATTTCGTGCTGCTCAAAAAATTGAAATTTCATTGACTTTTCAGTGACATTTGAAATTTCACGATTTTGTTTCCCCTAAACTAAATTCAATTCCACTTCTCTGAAAATGAATAGTCAATTGTTCATGAAATTTCAATTTTCTCCGAACAGTGTAGTCAATAAATCATTAATTGTTCACTCAGTTCATCCAAAGGATTCTACAAAAATTTGTAGATGAATTTCTCATCTTTTTATCTTTACATCATTCGTTCGTTGCTCATATGACCATAAAATGGCGCAGAAATATTTCATTTTTAAGCACTTTGGAAATTAAATAAAAATGTTATTTTCTCACACAGCATTCAGCTGGTTCTCATTATGCGAATACATAATAGCCTCAGCAAACATGGGATTTCATGCGACAGTAATTCTCGATTTTCCGAAGGAACGACTGGTCGTAGGTTGTGGAATACCTGCGGTTAAAGTTGATTAAACGATTTATAATACTTCGCGTTGTTTATCATCATCTTCAAAGTGCCTATTGCCAATAATTGCAGCAGTCAATCTACCCTGAATGTAACAAAGAGATTTAAACGAATTTAATTGAGATTGAATCAGTGGCACTGGGCACTTGTCAGATGACATGTGATAAGGCCTTGCGTTGTTGTAATCCTCTAGATTAATAGGTATTTAACGGAGTGGTCGAGATTCGAGAGTGGGTGACTACGTTGAAGCGTTTCAATGTAGCTCACTGGATTTTGTAAATTCGATTTTTTGAGGGGCAATAGTATACTGAGAGGAAAAAAAATGTTCTCAAACAAGTCTCATTTGAAAAAAAAAAATCACTAGTTGAAGTGTCCCGAGATGCAAAATGTTTGCTGCAAAATAGATTTAGTTGTTTCAAAAAATAACTTTCTATGCAAGAAAAAAATCGAATTTCAGGTACGGTGGCACGTTTGTTGAACTAGGCGGCTATTTAACTACGATGTTTTAACTACGACATTTAAATCTCAATTTTCAACTACGACACGCCAATTAATTTTATTTCAATCGCTACATTTGTAATAATTAGCGGAAATCATTCAATTTTTATTATTTTTTTCTCCTTGCATTTTATAGATAAACGTTACCGAACTCAGCGTTAGTTAGCATTTCAACTAACGCATCAGTAATTCAAAGCGATAAAACGATTTAAGTCGACTTAGCTCCTAACTGAGTTTTCCAGGAATATCTCCGAATCTAAGGGAGATAGCGAAATTTTCATTATAAGCTTGTTTATAGCTCTCAAGTTGCTCCACTAAAAAGGTTATAACAAAAATTCCGCTATCTGCCTTAGATTCCGAGATATTCATTGAAGACTAAGCAATAGCCAAAATCGACGTGAACCATTTTACCGCTTCGCTACTGAATTAATATGATGCAAAGCATAAAATTATCTTTTCTAGTGACAATTTGTGAAAGACTAATAATTCAATTATAATTTATAATTCCTCATGTTATTTTGACGGTTTGCATACATGTGTGGACGAATTGAAAATTCACAAGCACGAATATTGTGGGGGATCGTAGATGTTTTAAGAAATTTTGGGATAGATTTCCTAAAAATATCATTTGTTCGTGGTGTATTTAGCTGAAATGTCGCCTAGTAGAAAAGACATGGAGAAAAAGATTTAATGTCAAACACTACTCATGCTAATGCGAGAAGATAAACAATTAATTTCTAAATAGGATGATAATGGTGATATGTTAACAATCCTGTTTTCATCCTGAAACGACACAATTACACGTGAATGATCCGCCCCTTGAGTCAAATATTTTATTGTGGAAGGCAGAGCAATCATTCAATTTAAAACTTTCGTATGTTTAAATTAAATAGCTCCTATCTTGGCGATTTTCCACTTGCAATATTTTTTGTTCAAACAAAACTTGTTTGAGACCACGCTCGCCTTTCTCTCAGTGCAAGTACGAGTTGAGGGAATCTAGTCGATTTACTTATACAGTCTAGTCCAATTTTTATCCGCAGCTCCTCGAAATGAAAATTGTAAATTTATCTGCTGTTAATATCTCTAGGATATCATGAATGATAAATTAATTTTAGAGATTGGCAACTAGGGGATAAAATTGTTCAATAAATTACGTATTGCATTTTCGTTAATGGACAGGTGTTTTTCCAACTCAAGTTTGTGCTCGCGCATCAAAGGAACCTATTGTATTTTCCGTTTTTAGGAATTTATTAATAAGATACTCGAGATATACGAAGATTCGATTTATCGATGTCTGATTTTTAAGAATTCGTATGTCTCTGGAAGAATACTCTGTAACAATCTTAGGATTTTAACTGTCCTACTGTAGAGAGATATAATATATTCAGATCGAAAAATTAGAGATATAATTAATTTTAACTGAATTGGGGTTTGCGTGGAACAAGTGAGAAAGTTGTTGGGCTATGAGTAAAGATTTCTCTCAAATATAAATTCAAAACGAAGATGGATTTTCAAAAATCAGATGACAACCGGTTGGTCTAGGCGGTCTTCATAAATATTATAGAAGTAGAAAAGAAGTTGAAATACTTGTTTTATTTATTTATTTATTTTCAATATTTCAATTTTATTTGCCGATGTTGAGTGCGGGTGGTTTCGAAAATTAGTCCAGGAATATGAATTGCTATATATATTTGTTAATTCAAATGTTTTTTACCGACATGTGCGCTGCCGCACGTAACCCCTCACTCGACGAATATTTTTATACAATGGCTATGGGGCTACGCCCCCTACTCGCTTCCCTCGCCAACCCCCATGAACCTTATTTTGACCTTTGTGACTGACCCTCGTGCCCCTTATTTTGACCCTTCACTTCTGATCCTTAATTTTGGAGTCTTAATTTCGAGGACCAAATTTTCATCACCAAAACTCGATTTGAATTTTTACAATATGGAAAGATATTAAGACCCTTATTTTGACCCTTGCGACCCTTAGTTTCTGACCCCCATGGCCCTTACTTCGACCCTAAATCTGACCTTTGTGATCTTTAATGTAAACCTTGTGACCCTCATTTCGATCCTTAATCTGACCCTCATTATAACCCTCGTGACCCTTATTTTGACCCTGGTGTCTCTTAGTTTCTGACCCTTGGTGTTTGACCCCCATGTCCCTTATTTGGACCCTTGCGACCCCTAATCCGACCCCTGTGACCCTTAATCTGTTCCACATAACCCTTAATCCGACCGTTGCGACCATTAATCTAACCCTCGTGATCCCTATTCTAACCCTTGTGAGCCTTATTCTGACCCTCGTGATCCTTATTCTGACCCTTGTGAGCCTTATTCTGACCCTCGTGATCCTTATTCTCACCCTCATAATCCTTATTCTGACCCTCATGACCCTTAATTTCGGAGACTTAATTTTAAGTACCAAATTTTTATCACCGGAAGACGATTTGGATTTTTCCAATATAGAGATATGTTCTCTACTGTAATTTGTAGGTATCAACATTTTTACATTTTATGAGTTAGAAAACCAGGTTTTTCCGGTTTATAATTGATTTGATTTGTAATGATTTAGAACATTGGAATAATAAAGAAGCCCCTGATGAGGTCTTCCCTGGAGGATGAAACATTGGGCGATTGCAAAAAATTCTTCAACTTCAACTTCATTTCAACTTCTATAAAATTACTGGTTGGTTCCTGCCAACCGGTTGTCATCTGATTTTTGAAATAATTACAACGGTCAAAAAACATTTAAACGAAGACGGGTTTCGATATTTCGAGGGAAGTTCTTTGAAAATCATGAGATGTAAAATAATTTTGTATTCTTTTCTCACTGTTTGAGGAACAAAACTCAACATTTTTCATGCCTATTATGATAATATTGAGGATTATATAAAGATGCCGGAGTAATTCCAAAGTGAGGCAAATGTGAGTGATGACAGTGCCAGATGTTGACAAACAAAAAGGATCAAACTACTGATAACAGACGTGTTATTAAGTGCCAAGTGTTGAGTGTGTCACGCATCTAGTCGTTATCAATTGGCTCAGTGCGGCATTAATTCTCAAGGGTGTATTTTACAATGTAAAAAGGCAAAGTACTGTCAATAATTGTCACGTCAAAGTGCCATTCTATGTGTTCCCCCCCCTTCTTTGCTTGAGATCTTCCTTCGAACGCTCAAATTATTTTCGCTTTACTCTTAAATTATTTCGTTAAATGTTTACCTGTGTCCTTGACACCCACTTTACAAAGCTCCATACTCAATTTATTTTGCCATTCGGCACGATGACGTTATGATTACATACATTATGATTATGTTGAGGAAGGATGAGAGAGAGTGTGTGGGAATTTTAGAGAATTGGGGACTTGCATGATTTTTTTACACAAATGAAGAAATTTAATTGAAAATCCTGGCGCTTTCTTCAAGGAATTCTATTCAAGTGCTACTGGAACTCTATAAGAATCCTTTTAGGGTTCTATTAGAATTCCTTTTAAGGGGAAACGGAGCCCCTGTGTCTATATGAAGTTTCAGAATTGTGCTTTTTTCGGCAATTATTATTTTTTATTTATGCAACTACTTCATTGACCCAACAATGCAATGATCGGGTCGATAAAGTAGTTTCATAAATAAAAATTAATAATTGTAGGAGAAAACACAATTCTAAAATTAATTTAAACACAACGGTTTCGTTTTCCCTTAAAAATTCTATTCTATTGGAGATTCTTCAACTTTCCTATTATTTTGTTAGGAAATATTTGACTGAAATAAGTAAATGGATTTTTATTTTCCCACATATATTCTTGGGAATAAATTTTTCAAGTTTTTTCCGCTGTATTTCCATTTGTTTGCCACACAATGAATCATACAGAAAAATCAACATCTGTAGACTCTTTTCTATAAACAAATATCTATTTGAAAAGGCACGGAAAGGTACTAATTCCTAATACAATTTGCGTAAAAACAAATAGAATGTTTACACAAAATTCTAATAGAACTCCAAAAGAATTCTTATGGAGTTCCAGTCGAAAAGGCTAGGTGAAGTTTGTGACCCGAATAATTCATTTTTCATTCACAAAACTTCGAATTATTGCTTATTACGTAATATTCAATTGATGAAAGTTGAAAATTTCAAAGGCTTTGGAATAGTATATGACGTCACATGGATGGTTCGAGCTGACCTAACTCAAACTTAACGTCCGCCACAGCCAATGGAGGACCCCAACTCCCCACTTTCTGCACTCTCGGCCAATGAAGCGTTACCTGACCGTTCTTGTGACGTCACGATCAAACAATTATTTAAAAAACAACTGATCTTCAATTAATTATCATCACACATCAAACAATATTTCTCCATAATTTATTCTGTTTCACTATATCCATATGGCATAAAGACTGCGCGAGAAGAAAAACTAGAAAGAACTGAACTTCATGCAAGTTCTCAATATTTTGCGTATGAAAAAATCGTATAGAATTTTTTTATACGGATTGCGTATAGATCTTCTGTAGGATTTTCGTATATGATATTCGAACATTTCTCTACGGATATTTTTTATGCAAATTATTTCTATACGATTTCTATAGATTTGATTCTATACGACCCACTGCCACGTGTATAGAAATATTTCGTATGGAGTTGCGACATTTCTCGGTTTTTCTCTGGAGCGTTTAGACATCTTTCATATGAAAACAAAAATTTATGTAAAAATTTATGCATAGAAATAATTCGTATAGAAAATATTCGTATAGAAATATCCGAATATCATATACGGAAATCCTATAGAATTTCTGTACGCAAACCGTATAGAAAATTTCAATACGATTTTTTCAGACGATATCACCTGCTGTATTCGTTGTTTGAAAATTCATTTGATGGAAGAGTCTGCTCTGAAAAGTGATAAACATATCTGTCAAAATGAATCGAAAATTACGCAGATTGTCCAGTTGTGCTGGACCCTTAATACTGAACAATTCAAAGTCTTCGATAATCAATTGTGTGTTGGATAAGGGTTTTGAGAATAAAATGTTTATAGACGTGTAATTCAATGAGCTTGGCTTCCAAGGAAAGACAATGACTAGTTCAATAAGGACAGAACAAATTTCACAATTTATCGCCGATTTAATTTTATGTCACATTTTTTTCTGTGCAATACATCTCGACTTGCTTATTCATTTTTCTTTTTATTGACGTCGGCACTTTTTCATGTGCTTGGGTGCAATTGCCCTCGGTTGACCTTAATAAAGGCCCGGATAACAGTGAGAGCTGGGGGAGGGTGAAAGACTTCTGGGTAAACAATATTATGGTAATTGAGAGATGGATGATCATGTCAGAGGTGTGAGAGAATTTTTGATTGGAGGGATTCATTGATATTGATAAGACCGAGTGATTTTAGTTAATGATATCTCGATTAGTTTTGAATTCTTCACCGCCAATTTACTTGCACCTAGGTATTACTCTGTAATGAGGTAATTTTGAAATTATTGGAGAATTTTAAACACACACACATTACTTTTAAAAGACATTCGGTATGTTTGATTACGCTTGTACAATTCTACCATTGTATAATAAAGTGTAAATCAAGAATAACTTGTTGTTTGATGTCATTTGTTATGCAGAAAATGTTCCAATTTTCCCTCTGAAACCTAAAAAAAAAACTGATCTCTAAGGATCATGTCCATTCTTGTCGCATTTTTTTCCTCGATTGGATGCCGAACAGGCTTAATGATGTACTACACCCTTTCGGCCAAAATTCACGTTTTTGGAAATTTTCTGGCAAATTATTGATCGGATTGACGCAAAATAATATACCGTTTTTGCGTTTTATCATTATTGATTGACGCACGAAGTATCATGGTAGCGCAATCATTTTCCTGCATTTTTTCTAAAGTTTTGTGAATTTCCGAAAAGTTTTAGAAAAAACGCAGGAAAATTATTGCACGATCATGAAATTTCGTGAGTCATTAAGTAAGATAAAACGCAAAAACGGAATATTATTTCGCGTCAATCCCATCAATAATTTGCCAGAAAAATTGAAAAAAAATGTGAGTTTTGACGAAAAGGGTGTAATACATCCTTAAGGTAGTATGAATAGACTCTAGTTGAGTCGTTGAGAGTAATGAGGAATAAATTATTTGAAATGTCGAAAAAAATAATTATTCATCATAGAAAACGTTTAATATGAATTCTAAATTTGATGAATGTGATAAATGAATCCATCAAATTTATATTTCAATTATTTTTATGTCACACCGTGCAATACGTCTCGTTTATCGCACACTGCGCATGCGCAGTATTGTATAGACCACTCCAGCATAAATTTTGTTTTCGACGAATGTGAAGTTTGCAGGCCGAGCCGAAGGCGAGGAATTTGTGCCCTAGTGCTCTAATGTACTATTTGGAACAATAGTCTCTGGTTTGACTAGGTTCACATAATGCGCCATTTCGGGGTGCCCAGAAACATAAATTATCTATTGCAAAAGATTGGCACTGATGATAATTTTCATAATTTGCATAGAATTCTTATTTTTTCCAGATTTTTCAAGAATTTTTCTAGATTTTAATTTTTACTCTAATTTTCTTATAAGACTATGTTGTTTTGAGTGGTGTTTTCAGAGTGTTTCTATTTATATTAACTTCCGTTTAGAATCTATTTCAGATTTTAATCTTCAAAATTTGAGTTCTATTTTACTTTTAAACGTTCGGGCAAGTTAGATAATTCTTGGGAATGTTTGTGGCAAGAGCTATTTTTACTCCTAAACAATGTTTTTCTCTTTCAGCCAAATTCTTTTCAATATTTTAGGACCTTAATCTATTCGAATGGACGATGGAGATAGTCCGCGAGTGAAAATGTATTTTAGGAATTTTTACC